ACAGTATTGGCCTTTATTGCCGGTCTGCCAGCGGGGAAACCCGCTATGACTTTCGGATACCTACCAGCGAAACAGGGCCGACTGCAGATGACTGCTGCGAGCCGGCTTTCGCCTAAGGTGCACTTGGCTCTTCAATATCTCATTCGCAACTATTTTCGCATTGAAAACGTGGTTGCTGTACGACTTGCTAAGAGCCTGACTAAGTTGCCTGCTGCACCATATGCAGACAGCTGTACACTAGTGCACTATGATAACGATGTGACCCCTGGCTTTCATTATTATGAAGCTGATGGCACTGCCTTGAACATCTACGACATCACAGGGTCTACACATTCACGCATCATCCAGTGTCTTAAATCCAAGAAGCCGCTTGCTGGATTCGACCGAGACCTCACTAAGTTTGAGGAACTCGCTGATGGTTCACCACCAAGCGAGCCACCTCCAGCAGCTGCTCCTGAGCAGCCTCCTGCGGCGAATGATGGTCGGCTCCCGACCATCATAGAGGAAACAGAAGAGGATCTGGATGTCTTTGTCTTGGAGTCATGGTATGCTGAACTGATGGATGACAGAACACTCCTTGAAGCTGACACAGAAGAAGTCATGCACACAGTTCCGACATACATGACAGACTCACAGTGCGTGTTGGTCTCTACGACCTGTGAAGATGTGCAAGGCCACTTGCCGGTGCGGGGTCACCCGCCAGGATACGACATGGACACTTCTTACTACGTCCCTCTGTGCTCCACTGATCCGGACAGCCACTATGATCTGGACTCCGACGAGCACGGGAAGTACATCGAGCTTTGCTTCACAGCAGACATGTCCAAAGTCGTCCTGTCCGAGCAGCAGCGCCGATTGTTGGATGACAGCAGCGTCGCAACTATGCGAGTATATGTTAGTGCTGCCTCCAAACGTGCCGTGGTCGTCAAAGAAGACGACCTACTCACGAAGGCCGACATTCAAGCGAATCCGGTCAAAGTTTCCAAAGCCCTTTACACAGAATTGAAGACTTGGCTTGACAACAAATGCTTCAAGAAGACTGACTTGAGCAAAGCGTCGAACATCATGACTTCACGCTATGTATACAAATGGAAGTTTGTCAAGAACGAGAAGGGCGAAATGGAACGGACGATCAGGTTACGCTTGGTACTTCGTGGTTTCATGGACATTGAAGCCTTCGATGTCGAAACCTTCTCTGGCACGGCAAGGAGGTCAAACCAGAGATTGCTCGCAAGTTCTGCTGCGTGCAACAAAGCTTGGATCATCGCTTCCCTGGACATCAACATGGCTTTCTTGAAGGGGCTGACCTATGGCGAGCTCGCCGCGGCAACTGGCGAGAAAGAGCGTGTGGTGTGCTTCACACTACCTCCTGGGTCAGCAGCTGCCCTTCGCACATTGCCAGGCTTTGAGTCATATGACGAATCAAAGCATTGTCTTCGGTGCCTCAAGCCGGGGACTGGCACGAAGGATGCTACCAGGGCATTCTCGCTGAAGCTCAGGTCCATCACCAGGAGCTTTGGACTACAGCCTACTTCATACAATGAAGAGTTCGAGATGAGTTCAAACCTCTTGACAGCCAAACACGTTGATGACATCAATATGACTGGGAAGGAAGATTCCATTGACAAGTACGTCAAATGTGTTGAAGATACGTTTGGAAAGTGCAAACTGAATAAGCACACATACACAAATTGTGCCGTTCGGTACAACAAGACCGATGATGGGAGCGTCACTCTTGATCAGGACGAATACATCAAACAACTTCGTCCTATCACACATCCAGAGCTCACAGGCGCTGATCCTGAGAGCAAAGCGACAAAGACGATTTCTGATATGTTCGTCAGTCTTCGTGGCGCTCTAGCCTATGCGTTGATCACGCAGGTATGGCTGATGGTCTATGTTGTTTCACTGCAACGTATCCAGGAACCGACAAACATCCAGGTACGACGACTGAACGCGGTTACCAGGAAATTGCAGGCAGGTCCGAAGAAGATCGTGTATCAAGCTATGACTCCAACAGGAGAGGTCGACCTGCATAGCGATTCTGGCTATCGTCGTCTCAACGGAGATGAAGACGACGAAGTCAAAGGCTACGGTATCCGCGGGGCTAACCTGCTGAGGCGTGGCCACACGCAAGCGGGGAAACCCGTCGTGCACCTGGTGGACGCATACTGCAAGTCTCATCGACTGCAGGTGCGTTCGAGCTACTCTGCGGAAACACTGGCAGCAGCCCACAACTTGGAAGACTGCTACCCGACCATTGTAACGCTCCACGAGCTACACTCGGGACCATTGACCCCCACACAGTTAAAGAACATATTGGAAATGGGTGGTCTATGTATCAAAGTCACTCTGACTATTGATGCCGAGTCTGTCTTCAAGTCTTTGTCTAGCAAAGATCTGAAGAAGCCCACAGAATGTACTCTGCTTGGGCACATCAGCTGGATCCGCCAGATGATGGAGCGCGGAATCGTTGAAAGCGTCCAATGGTGTGACGCGCGGGATATGACTGCCGATGGTCATACCAAAGGTAGTATTGACCGCGCGTTGCTCCTACAGGTAATGGCCGGTCAGCAATCCTTCAAGCACGAGCTGAAGAAACATACTCCGTATAGGGCGGGCAGGTCGTCTCAGGACGGCCCTGCCTCCCGAGCTAGCGGGGAAACCCGCACGCAGGTGCGCTTTAGTAGCGAGGAAACTCGCCGGTAGCGAGGCTACTCGCGCGCCCTTGCCTTGTAGGCAGCCGCTGTTGCCTAGCACTGTTTTTTCCGCGTAATGTAGAAATTCGGTGCTTGCTCGTCTCCTCCCCCTCCAACTTTAAACGGAGAGGGTTAAAGGCGAGATGTAAATCGAGCATGCACCGCTGCCGTGCCTGGCTCAAGCCGGGCCCGGCCGAACATGTGATTGTGCCTCACCGAGGCGCACTACTCGCATCTGAGATCGGAAAAGACCTTTCTATTGAAGATGCCCCTTCTATCCTTTACTCCAGATCCCATGCTTCATCTTGCTCTCTTGCTCATGCGGTATGAGCCAAAGCCTGGGATATGGGAGCGCCTAAGGCGGAACATATATCTTGGCTTACCAGTGCGTTTTCGACTTCCGCGCCCGTGGATTATTGCTGCGTTTTGCTCGGCGTCTCATCGTTTCACACCCGCACCACTTCTTGTCTCACCGCGTTGCCAACACCTTTGACGTGCACGGCTTCTCTTTCTCTGTGGAGCCATCGTTGGCTCTCCAACTCTTCGCCGGATAAGAAACATTAAGACAATAACGGCCCCCCTCCAGTCCAGACAAAGGGGAATGGGGTTCGGGGAGGGGTCAAGCTACCAACAAGCCGTCAGCTGTCTCGCTCACTTCCGCCTGCCCTCCCACCGCAGAAGTATCACCCGAGTCTCAGGGTCCGCGGTCGACAAACATCGGGAACTCATGCAGGCATCAGCAGAGTACGCGATGTCCGCGAGGTACGCCGCATATACTAGTGCACCTCATTCTCCCTGTCAGACAGTACAAAATGGTCGCGGGGTGCCCGCGCATGATCGAAGATATTGCCTCAACGTGCACTTCACACTTGTTTGTGACAGGGGGTTGTGGGCCTGCACACGTGTGGCAATGTGCCAACACCCCCACTCCGTCACTGTCAACACAAAGTAATAAGTGATCCCGGGGCGCCCGAACACGGTCCAGTTGTTGCCACGCTATACCTATGGGGGGTAGGCGGAGGGGGGGGTAGCATTGACCCTGGTTGGCGGCCAGTCGAGTGGTGGGGGGGTGTTTGTTCAGTAGGAGCAGTGGCGAAGCCCGTTCCGAAGGGGATGCATGAATGAATGAAGGCCCAAGAGGGCACATTGCGGTTACAGCCTCAAGCGCAATTCCGCTTCCGCATCAGCGGCGCGCATCAGCGCGGGGCGCTAGTGCACGAAGGGGTCGCGGGCACGAGCTGAGACCGACCTCCGCCCCCCTTCAGGAGGCGAACACCTAGTCGCGCCAGGGGGGACACCACACCTGAACGCGCTTAGGGGGAAACCCGTTAAAGGAAGCTACAACCCACCCCACCCACAAGAAACGGAGCGTTGCTCAGCGCCCGAACCCCACAAGCACGTCTACTTGTGACCCCCCCAGCGCAGGTCGCAACTCACATGAGGGGCGAAGGACATCCTGCTGGGGCGAAGGACCCAACATGCCAGGGCTCAAACCTGGCTGCGAGGACCCGGGCGGGGTTGGAAGGGGGGGGGGCAGGCCACTCTCCGGCCAAGGGTGCGCACATCGTCCACCCCTGGGCTTTCGAACCCATGGGCCGTTCCGAAGGGAAGGGGGGGGAGGGACCTCCTGGCTCACGCCATTGCGACGATCGCTCCCAGAAGGGGAAGGGCGGAGGGAGTGGAGTGGACTGCCTCAACCAACATGGGATCATCGGCAGTACACCGCATGACCGCGCGGTGCCAGCGGGCGCCCAGGCTGTATGGCTTGGTCGCCGTAGC